GAAGAGCGAAAGAGCTCACGATAAAATTTGCGATAGCACAGTCCAAGTGCAAGCCGCACCAAATTGTTTGACACTTTCCTGAATGAGATATGCGATTGCACATACTTTGGAAATACCCATTATGTAAATCATCACGCGCGCATCAGCTCTTACTTTTCAACCCGATAAAACGATTCGTCAAATTATATTCGCGTCCCCCTCCCCTCCCCAGGGTATAATACACGGGACGATTCCCGTTAGTAGACCGTCTATACCCAGTCGGCGCGTGAGAGGTTTCGAACTGTCAAACTTTCTCTCGCCGAAACTTTTCAGCCGTTTTAAAACTCGCTCGAAGGGCGCGTTTTTGGCGGCGCGGCGCGGGCACGTCCGTAATCGTAAAGTTGACGTGATTAATAATAATTACTCCCCCGTGGGGGGGAGTAGACGGCGTGACGGGTAGACGGTAGCATCAACGGGTAGATATGTCTATGGGTACATGGGTAGATGCGAGAGTCCACGCGCGCGCGCGTCAGACGATCGTTGGCGGAGAATGGGACAGCTGACGGGTGACAGTGACAGTGACGGTGAATAAACGCGAGGCCGAGGGTAGAACGCGGCACAGGGGGAGGGGGCGGAGGGGGGGAGCGGGTGGGGGATGATAATCGAATTATTCGAGTGCTCGAAAACGGAGAGCCTGCGCCGCGCCGCTCGAGCAAGGTTAATCGCGGCGCGTCCGTCGCGCGGTGCTCTCTCTCATAAAACGTTAACGAAAATAAACCGCCACCACGTCTGACGCGTGGCGTCACGCAAATCTCGCCGAATTTCCATGCAAAATTGAGGAAAGTCGTAGTAGCTGCGCGTAGACCTTTCCTCCGCATCTCCTTCGTGCGTGGCGTAAATGAGACGCCGCCTGCACGACGTTCCAACAAGAGCTGGAGGGACTTTGCTGCTCCGCGGAGCATAAGCGAATAAACATTCCGCGAAAAATATTCCGCACGTTTGTGTCTCGTTCCACTCTTTTTCACATCAGCGTACTTCAGTCACGATTGTTTGATTATTATTGGTTAGAAAATTATAAACGACAATGAATATAATGTGAAGAAATATGTGAAGCTATCGATGATTGGCAAATTTTTAGCAAACAGATGACACTTTATCCCAATAAACACCGAGCATCAGTTACATTACATCTGTGTTATAATTCTTCATTCAAATCGTACCGTATAGATAACGGTACGATTGTATATTCTAATTAATAATATCAATAATATTAATAATATCAATACGGTACGATTGTATAATATAACACGTATGTTATATATTGCATTTATTGTTTCATATTATTAATTAGAAAATTACAAACGACAATAAATATTATGTGAAGAAATATATGAAGCTATATCGGTGATATTGAAAAATTTGTAGCAAATAGATGACACTAAAATTTTTGTAACTGTATTATAATAACGATGACTGATTTAATATCAGCGTTAAGATATAGTTAAGAGATTCATTTATTGCGTGACAATCAGAAGCATGGTTAATTAATTGTTAATTAATTAAGCATTAATGAAAAAATTGATTTCTTCCAAAATGATCTCAAGTTTTCCCGATATGGTCATCTAAAATAATCCTTCGTGTCATCTTAAAGCGTTGTCAGCCAGGCAGGAAAACGCCGTCCGAGATTCATAAGCTTCACGGAAAACTTCTTACGCTGCAACCGGCGCGGCGCGAGGAACCAGTCGAATACCAGGCCGGCTTAGAAGATATACGCACAAAGTCGATCGCGGCGTCGGTATATCGATACGCGGCGAGAGTCGCTGATTGATCGGGGAATCGATCGGATGAAAAACGTTGTTCGCGGTATAACGGTACGATTTGAGGTGGCTTTACCCTTCGTGGAAGCGGTCGCGCCGAGCGATGTGGCCTGGATAGAGTCTCCTGGCCCCTGCTGATGCCGTGTATATAAATCTGCCTCTCCTGCCGCCGCTCCTCTTTCTTTTCTCCGTTTTTTTCTTCTTCTTTCTCTCGCGTATTATCCGTGTCCCGCGTGTCGCTGATCGATCGATCGATCGACCCGTGTCCCGCGTCCGTCCGTCCGCGGCCGGTCGCTCGTTCTTCGCGAGCGCACGGGATCCGGGGTCGAGTTTAACGTCGGTCATCAGGGTAAATGTCGGACGCACGTGCGTGCGTTGAGCGCCGCCGAGCGAGCGCCGCCGCCGCGCCGCTGCATTCGATCGGCAAGAAATCCGAGCACGACTCTCCGCCGAGCTCTCTTCCTGATTTATTGCCGATCGCCCTCCCCCCCCTCTCCCTTCCGATCGCGAGAACAGCCGCGGAGCAATACAAGCCCCTGCGCGGGCGTTTGTGAAGCGTTTTTGCGGGCGTATATAGCGACTTGCCGTTCAGCGAGGAAGATTTTCTAAGTCGGTGGGATCTTCTTATTTTGAAAACCGGCCACGTCGCGCGTCTTTAAGGTTTTGCCGGTTGTTCTGCGCGATCCCGATGATATACGCGCATGAGTCGCGGTACCAGCTCGTCGTGATCTCGTAGAAGCCGACTGTAATGAGCGACACGAGTAAAACGCAATATTGATAATTAATATACCGAGAAGCAAAGGTTTCGCAACTCCGTTCGCGAAGTGAAATAGATTAGCTGATTAGCTCATCCAGCTTCCCGTCTCTTTCTTCCTGATTGTTTTTCGTGTGAATTAAGCACGAATAAACAAGCCAGAGAGAGCTACAAGAAGATGCGATTTTTTTTGACTGATAATCGTTTAACGCAGAAGACTCGCGGCATACGAATCAAATTTTTAAATTGTGAAAATTCTATTGTCAAATTCTATTTTCACAATTTATTCGTGTCTGCAGTTTTATCTGCACACGCTTGCAATCGGAGAAAGCGACCCGAAAGACTTCGCCTTGACTTCCTCGTGTCAACAATCCATGCGTCGACTCGATCGCGAGTGTTTAGCTGCTGCGAATCGAGGCGTTTCTACCGGAGAGACGTGTGTCCGCGATGCCGTCCGCGCGTCGTCGTTGAAGCAAAAAGAAGAACGGGGCACGGGATAATCATTCGTCGATTTGCCTTCCCTGTCGATGTGCTTACGCCGATAACGTAACATCGGAAATTTCATATCGTTAATAAAATTACAATTTTCAAGGAAACGCGCTTTACAACGCGCGCGCGCGCATTAAATTGCTGCCGGTGAGCCGAGCTGGCGGAAAAAGAGGCGTACACGAGAGACGCGGGTTTCTCGTTCGATCGGTCGGGAAAGTGGCCGGCGAAGGAAGTATCGCAAAAGAGCTACTGTGCTCGCTGATAAACTTATTTTAAGCAGCCGCTTGTCGCACGGCCCGCGCGCGCGATTGCACGTGCAATGTGCAATGCACGTACGAGATTATTACGCGTATATAATTCATGGACTCTTTCATTCGCAAAAAGGCCAAATCACGCGGAGGATAACGAACGTTACGCGTGTCGTGCCGTTATACGGCCGATCGTAAGACAGTATCGCCGTATACCGATTAGGCGACTTATATCCGCAATTCGTAGCACACTTTCTTCTAATACGCTCGCGCCGACGATTACGGTCGAGAGCTATCGGTCAATTAGAAATAATTATTTGCCGCAATCGCGGGTGCATCCACGCATCGTCCACGCACTTGCGATCGCTCGCGTATAAAACACCGACGCGGCATGTTCTCGATAACGTAACGCTCGATCCCGATCGATGCAATTGCCCGTAATTGCGTTAATCGCGCGATTAATGAAATGATAACGCAAATGTTTTCAAATAGTCAACTTTGTATCCACTTTGCTCCAAATAGATCCGCGATATTATACGTAAATTATTATCGCGCTCATATATTCTATTCCGATAACCCCGCGCCGAATGAAGCTCGATGAGGATGTCGTAGCGTATACTGCTTCAACATCTCTGGGATCAATGATACTTCATTTCTGCGGACGCAGACGCACTTTTTTACGTCCTTATCTCGCTGGAAGCTCAAAAAGGCCGCGTGTACTCGCGCTATAACACAGTGCAAATCTTTCGATTTCAAACTATATGGTAGTATTTTGTGCACAGTGTTTAGTGACGTAGACGTATCTCGCAACTAATCTGGGATTTTAAACGGGCGATATTTAAATATCTCGTTTTATAATCGCTTGCCCACGTAAACAAAATTGTGTCTATCTTTAAAAAATGATGCCGAATTCGTCACAAATATTACGTGTTTACGTTGCAGTAAGCAGATATTTGCTTAATTTTATGTTTTTATTTATTCATGCTATCCAATATTTATACGTAGATATCGCCAAGTAGCCAGGGAGTCATTAAGCAGCGCGACGATACTTTATCGAGCTGTATGCAACATCGTGCATGTACTCAGTATCGGCCAGCGAGAATCTTTTCATTCATGGATAATAAATGACGCAATGAGCGAACGCTATATACTTTTTAAAAAAAAAGAACGAAAAATCCACGTTTACACGCGTATATACCGTTAAGGAAGAAACGACACATTATCGCTGTTTTGGTACTTTCAACGCGCCGAGACTATATATCTGCTAATTGGAATTTTCCTACACAATTATCATATACACCAATGCATTTATTGCTACGCAGCGTTAAATAATCGTGCTTGCAGTTGTTTCAGAATAACGTTATTAAAAATAACGATCAAATTCCAATCGCGTTATACAATCGATATTTTTACTTTTAAAGAACGTTTCTCTATTGAGCTCACGCGGAAAAAAATTTAGCTAAAGGATTTGCTACTATACGGAGCAAAGTTCAGCAAAACTGTTTGCTATTGCAACGAAATGTTTTGCTATATTATTGCAAAATTAATTAGCTCTCGCAGTAAAAAATGTTAGTTATTCCATATTTAACAAATAGATTTGCTGTTGCAGCAAAACCTGTTTTTTTCCGTGGCTTGTCTCCGTGTTAAATAACTCCTCTAAGATTATATTCCGCGTTACTGACGTGCTATATGCGTAAACTTCATGTTTTTCAGATCAGAGGCTAAGGCACTCGAAGGGCAGCCTGGACGTGCTGTACTTCAAGTTCTCCGATAAGGTCGTCCAGCATCGCGTCACTAGGGCGGAGCTGTCTCTGTGGATATGGGGCGTGAATCAGGAAGTTACGGAGCTCGGCGAGCCGATGGATCTGGACGGCCATCAGGACGCCGGTCCGGTGACGATCACGTTGCAGAGGATCCTTCGGGGCGCGACCGAGACGGGTGGGCCCCTGCTGGGTCCACCACTGACCACGAAACACCCCCGACCGTACGGACGGCGGGGCGGCTGGATCACGATCGAGCTCAGACGAATGGTGGCGGAGTGGTTCAAGCATCCGAGGGATAATCTCGGGGTCGCCCTGAAGATCATCGGGCCCGGCAGCAATCATCGCAGGAACTCGGCCCGGCTGGTCGAGACCAATCCCGGCGCGGAGTACGCCCCGTATCTCGAGGTGCAGATGCAGGAGCTCGATTCGCGAAGGGGCTCCAGGATCAAGAGGAACGTGGGACTCAATTGCGACGAGGCCAGCCAGGAGACCAGGTGTTGCCGGTACAAGCTCACGGTGGACTTTGAGAAATTCGGCTGGGATTGGATAATCGCACCTAAGAAGTGAGTGCACGATTCTTCCATTTCTTCCCTTTTTTTTTCTTCATTAATTGGAGGATTTGCGATTTGCGATGGAAAAGCGATTTGCGTAGACCAATTGAAAGTCACATCGTTTTAAGTTCTATTTCTACTTATTTGTTATTGCGAAAAGCATGAATCTCTAAAAATCTCGAAAAAATCAGATACGATCCGTCTCGGGTGAGTCATATTGGCGCGATATATTTTATGCCTGTTTAATAGAATACTTCAAACGTGTGTACTTTTGCGAGAACATATTGCGACTCGCGAAATGATTAATGCACCGTCAGTCAAGCACGTACCCATAAAGATTTCTCCGGTGAAGGAAAATATTTTGAGCCAAACTGGGGTTTCAATAAAGGAACTGCGGACTTTACTTGCTGGCACGTAGAACAGTTCTACATCAACAGCACTAAACTGTTACTTGCGCACGTTTGGTCTAAAAATACCTTTTATTATGTAATACCGATGTACATTTCGAGTAAATTTGCCACGACGATATTTAACCGTGAAGTTTATTGAAGAATACAAATGTGAAATTATATATTACGCTTATTCATGATCTTTATACGGAGATTCAAAATACGCAAGCACGCTTCGCCGAACATATGAGAAAAGTGTACAATGGCTGATTTGAAGTACACTTCAACGAAAATAGAGAAAAAAGTTTTAAACGTTAAATTTTTATTTATACCTATTATCATCAATATTTCTGTTTTTTTTTTTTAATGAATGAAGAGAGATGGATTTCATCAACGTTGATTACCTTAATTTTCACGGACAGACAATCTTAGCTGTTTTCTTTTAAAATTAATATTAAGACTCGGAAAATTAGCATTGATGAGACGAATTTAATTTTGCGGATCGGTATTAATTGACAGTGGAATTAACGATCGGTTCCCTGGATCTTTGTGTGCGCAGATACGATGCCAATTACTGCTCGGGTGACTGTCCGATGGCCTTTCTCCCGGCCTATCCGAACACGCATATCGTCAGCCTGGCCGAACCGCCGAACAACACCGGGCCGTGTTGCGCACCTAGGAAGCTGTCCGAAATTACGATGTTGTATTTCGACAACGAGTACCAGATCGTGTTCTCGCGGTTGCCGGGCATGGTCGTCGAGAAATGCGGGTGCTCATAGTCCACCTTCGCTTCTGGCCTAAACGAAAGCGACGTGGGCGACGCCGAGAGTTCCGCACGGATGCCGCGATGCTCTCCCTCTGATCAATCTCGACGATCATCGTCATTGTCCTCGTCAATCGTCGTCGATTGTCGTCGTCGTCGTCGTCGTCGTGTTCACGGCGATTCCTCATCCGATAGACTGAAAGTGCCTTGTTCGGAGAGTGATTGCGTGATATGCGGATCTCTTTGGAGCGCGCGGTGGAGGAAACACAAAAGTGTGCGCGGGGTAGACGGTGTGATGGTGATTCGCGAGAGAGTCCCCCCCCCTCACGAAGACTGTGCTGGATGCCAAGGGAAGTCCAAAGTGGGACTCGCGCCGTGTCAGAGGCACCTCAACGGGGTGATCCATGGTCCATGGCAAGGCGGATAGTTCCTAGAGTCACGGTATTATTTTTAAGACGCCGATACGTTTGCACTTGATCCACAAAAAAATCCTGATTACGGCCTCGGAATTACGATTCCCTCCCTTAAAAAAAAAAATCGCGAATTTTTTATTCCTCTAAGTCAAGAAAGGTGGGTAGAATAAGGATATTTATAAACGCCCGTGTAGTTATTGCGCAAGCGTTACGTTCACGGAACTCGTAACCATAGTTTTGCCAACAAGCAGCGCAAAACTTTGTTGAACATTTTCATTATTGCGCCGCGGCGAGACTACGTATAAATTAGGATACAATACGCGGCCGTTTCGCGTCGCGAGACCCGTAATTTTTATCTCTCCCATTTCTTTACGTCATATGCGAAATACAAAATGCGTTGTTATCGAAACAAAGGTCGTCGACGATCGGTGGAAACGTGTTGGCCAACAGATCTCGGTGTACAGTAAAAATCGTTGTTTTTTTCTAATGGTTTTTTTCCCTCTCCCCCTCGTCTTTCTACAATTATATTATATATATAGAAACGTTTCATTACATGATCGTTTCTTTTTTTTTTAGCGAATTGTGAGTGCATGTGCGAGAGAGCGTGTCGAATTATGTAAATAAGTCGTAAGCAGGCAAGAATGTGGTGTCGCTTCGCTGACACTCCCACGTCCTGGGAGAATCCGACGAGGATGTTACTCGTGTATTGGCGGAGAAATCCCTCAGCCCTCCTAGTTTTTTTTTTTTTTTTTTTTTTCTAACGCGAGTACGGCTCTAAAGTAATAAATTGTAATTTGTAATTATAAAATGGCGCCAATATCCGGCTAATCGCGCTCGGAACTTTTTATATATCGCGCCAATTGGAAAGTTCATATTCACGTCCCCCTCCCCCTTCGTCATTCGTCACGCAGAACGAGTGTCGAGCGTTTATTTCTAGATAAATAAACATTTATTCGCGCGAAACAAGATGCGCGACGCGCGCGCCTGATTTTCGTATAGCTTTCTTCGTAACTTACGGTATTAATAGCTGATGCATTTCAGCGCGTCGGGTGACGCGCTTCGTCGAAGAAGGGACGGCGACTTTTTATTGGAACGCGCGTCCCTTCCTATTCCACGCGTTGTACAATCTTGAAAAGGAAAGAAAAGAAAAAGATTGGACAAGCGTTCTTTTTTTTTTTTTTAGACAAAATTATTCTAGAGGTAATATATCTCGACAAGCGCTCTTATTAGTTTTTATAGACTCATTAGGATCCGTCCCTGATCCTCGGGCATATACGCTAATTAATTACCACGGTGACAGAGAGGATCAGTGCCGCAATTATGTATAGACGTGTCCCCCGACGCTTGAACAATTCCAAGTTAAATGTAGCGATTGAAACCAATATAATTTCGATCAATTCAGATCGCCGCGGGGTCGATCGACGCGGAAAAACGACCGTTTAATAAACAGGGTGTGCACCATTTTTCTCTGAAACCTTCGGGTAACGTCGAGATTCTACCGGTTTCAATCCCTCGTGTTGTATAGCGATCTTCAAAATCCGGGAACGTACTTGAAACTTCTCGTGCTATCAGAGCTAACACTTAACTCCACGTTTTTCCCCCTCGGCTTCGAGTCAAGTGCACTGTAGCTACATTTTGTAAAATAGTATACGATGTACGATGGACTTGCGCGCACCGTCCCTAAACTTCATGTGATTGTAAAGGAAAAAAGTCACACGCAACACAACACACAAAACACACGCGCACACACACACACACACACACACACACGCACACACACATACGTACATACATCACGTACACATGCACACATACGAGTTTATAAAGAAAACTGTGCGATTTTTATAAAGCGATCATTTAGAACGTAAGAGAAAGCTCCTTGAAAAAAAATCGATTCTTTTGTAATTCCCCCTTCCTCCCCTCCTGTCAAGCTGTCCTTGTCTCTCCCTCCTTCCGGCCGTTCCTTTTCTCTCCTTCGTATCTATTACATTTTCCATTTTCAGTTTGTTTGTCTCAGTGTATCAATAATTAAAAAGATAAGGGATTTGCTTATCTTCCCCCCTCCCCCACCGCTCCCCAGATAGCGAACGAGGACGGCAGAAAAATGCATACTTATATGTATAATGTGTACTTCCTAGGTAGGCACACAGCATAGATAGAAAAATATTTATTCCATGAAATAAATGGTTTTTCGATGAGCACGGAATAACATTTCATTTTTCCTCCTCTACCACTCTATCAAATAATTCATTCAATTAGTTAATATTTAATATTTACAGTTATATATTTTGTTGAAAAACAGAACAAGAAGTCAAGTTCATCTGTCTATTAACGGCAAAGCGTTTAATGTCTGTGATAAAAAGTCTATCAAATCAGGCTACTTTGCCGTAATTTGTAAATTTATTTCGATTACTTTAATTACTTTAATCGTTATTTGATTTTGTTTATTCAAATATACGATACGTATGTAAAAAAGAAAGTGCGTACTTATTACTTTTGCACGCCATGCGTCAAATTTATTTTTAAAGTATACGATAAATTTGGCAATATCGTGTACTCTTTTGCAGTAATCAATCCGAATTTTATTAAATCATGTTCGACAACGTGTGTTTATTTCTTTTTAATCAATACAAGAGAGAGACGAGATAAACTTTCGGGGCAGAAAACGATTATTGTTCTGAGATTTCTTTTCGTCCGCCAATTAAAAACCGGCTATGTTTTCGCTGATTTCTGGGTATACCCCGGGGTAAAGAAAAATATTTTTCGCAACACGCGCTATTAATATAATAACCCGCTATTAATCATTGTATCATTTTACTTTTCCAAATCATCGGTGCAAAGTTCCATACCTCCAAACAATCTTGCCGAGACAAATTATAAATGCTCCTTATTCCTTATATTGACTAGAAGATATGGTCTAAATATATTCTGGATAATTCAAATCATTCACATCTAAAAAATCTTTATCTGGAAAATCTGGAATATCTACTTCAGATATTAATTCTAAATACTTATCCTGAAAGTTCCTGAGTGTTATATAACCATCTGGAAGTGACTTAAAAAATTTTGATAATTTTTCTATAAATAAGTAGATAGATCTAAAAATAGATCTCTTGAAGGCAAAATTCACACACTGAAAAAAAATTTTTTAATATTTAAAAAGCCTTATTTGAATACTCCTAACAACATATTTACTTAATATAATCACATATTTATTTAGAATTAGATATTTTTACTTAATTTAAGTTTTAAATATTAAAAAATTTTTTTTTTAGTGCATGATATGTCTTAGCAAAGTTCTCGTCAAATTTTATTTACAATACATTTTCTTTCTTTATTTATAAAATTATATGTCTTTCATTGATGTTATTTCAGAACAATTTGCGTGCAATTTTGCGGTAAATACATTCTTGCAAAAAATATCGAAAGGCAATCGTGAAAAGAAATGTCAAAGAACAATATTAAAACATATCATTGCTCGTTACATTATTCATTAAAATTGACATTGATTTTTTAATTATTATAGCACATTTCTTTTGACTAGCAAACTTACATACGTGATCGAGGAATTTTTTTATTGTGCATTTTAAAATATACTATCACGCTGTAGATGACGGGAAAGGTGAAGAAAACGTATACAGCTTTTTATAAGACGTGGAAACACGTTTTTGTAAATAATACTTGAAAAATGGTAAGTACAATTATTACTAATCTATGTCTTTTTTATTTGAATATGCAGAAAATATATCTAGAGTTCATGCAGACATAGCATGACATTGCAATTGATAATGCCAAAAATTTTGAGTAAATACTTCACGCCATCTGCATTATGAACCAAATGAACCAGAACGGATCCGTAAATATAATTATCGTTTCACTTATCGCCAATGATTAATGATCGATAAATACATTAACTGCAAGTAACAACTGTAGAATTTGTCATAAATGTGCATTCTTATCGTTCGTACCAGATTAAAATGTATATATAGCCAAGCCATTTATAGATCTGTTCGACATTGGCTGCGTTCGGAAACGTCACCCGGGGTACACACGGGTACGCTTTCTTCTCCTTCTAACTCGCCTAGATAGAAAGAGAAGGGAGTATACTCGTGTGCACTCCGGACGACGTTTCCGAACGCAGCCATTGTTGCTAATGTTGATATCATAATTGATACAAGTTGCAAATTACGCACTCTTAATTCTCAGTTACGCGCAACAACACGATATAAGATCAATCAGGCCGGCGGGCGAAAACTTTTTCGATCGCAAATGTGTGCCGTTTATCTTATAATTAGATCTTATTTTTGTGAAACGTACACCGCTAAATCGTGCTTGTTTATTTGTTGTGCCGCTTTTCATAAAATGTTGCACGCGGAACGTTTACTCTAGCGCGCGTTGTGGCAATGAAATAATGTGCGCATTTTAAAAACATGTTTACCCGAAACATATATATTTACGGATTTATTTATCGACGCCCCGCATGCAATCGTGCCAAAACGAATCAAATTTGTTTTATACATAGAATTCTTTTTTTATATGCAATTTGTTCTTGTATGGGTCATTATAACTGTGTCATGGCTTTTATGTCAGTCGCGATAACTGAAACAATTGTAACTGAATAAGGAAGGGTTATCTTATTTGTCGCCAGCCGCGGGTCGAAAGGGTGCCAAGGAAAAGTTTATTCGAGCGAATGGCGCCGCTGGCATCCAATAGCAGGGTGCGTTTTATCGAGGATATGCGCGAGCGACAATCAAACAATAAATTCACCATAAAACTCTTTATATGAAACGTCGCTTCCGTAATGAATACGCGTGAGCGCGACTTAAGCTCATTTTATTTCCAAAAGTTGTCTCATATTCGATTCGACCGTCTTTGAGAAAAATTCTTACATCTGCGGTATACGCCAAAGAAATTCGTATCAATTTGATAATCAAGTGTAATTAAAAAATTTTTAGATATATGATTTAGATATTCAAAATACATTCTTTTGGAAATAAGCATCAATAAAGCCACATAAGATAATTTTAGAAAATAATAAAATAAAATTTTTAAAGGTATCATTTAAAAAAAAATTATTCTTATTACTTAGTTTTTCGGCGGCACGGTATGTCAGTGACATGGCCCGAGCGGTGGCCGAGTTCGGGGACGTGTGCGACGATAATTCGCGCATATAATGCGATAGTCAGATGCACGTCCTGGGCAAGTCGGCCAGTTGAATTGACGGCAGAGAGAGTCAACTGTTTCGCCAGACGTGCCAATTCTCGTTTTATTGTTTTTCTTCGACGGCGCCCCGAGCACTCGTCCTTGCCGACGGTCGGGTTAGTGCTCCCCTTTCGCCGAAACGGAGAGAAATGCGAAAATCTCGACATTAACCCGAAAACATCGTGGAGAATTTATTGGAACAGAAATAGTCGGGCGTCGCATGCCAAGAATGCTCCAAGACAGAATCAAATGAGAGGCACGAAAGTGACTTTTGCCGAAATTAAAAGTGAAAGTGACACGATTAGACAAGACGAAGATTTTCTTCGTAGACTTAATAAATTTTATTGTATGTGAATGATACTGGGCCAAGATTTTCTTCAAGAGAAGAAGATAATCGTCAAAAATCTTGTTACGTTAGTCGTTAGTAAAATTTCGAATACAATATGCGAAAGTATATATATACATATAAATGTGCCAAAAATTATGTATTGAAGAATATGTGTATGTATAAGATAATTAATAATGTAGTAATATAACAATTAAATGATACAAATAATTAGCAATATTAGTTACAATAAAGTAATAATACAAAAATTATCTCATACATATTTATAACATCCTCATCTTCATGTTCATCCCTTACAGAAATTTAATATTGTTATTTGGCTAGTGATTAATTAGTTATTTTGAGTATTAAAAGCATTATTATAATGCTGTTAAGCATATGTTATAATGTTTTTAATCCTCAAAATAAGTAATTAATCACTAGCCAAATAATCACTTACGGTATTAAATTTCTGTAAGGGATACATATTGTTTCACATACATTTTTCGCTACATTGAAATCTGATACGATGTCTTTTATCATATCAAGAGAAGATTTTCTTGACTTCTCTGTAAAGATTTACACACACGATGTCCTTTTCTTTCTTTCTTTCTGTACAAACAGGTAAGCTACAAAGTTTGTTCGCCACAAATTAAGGCGCAAAGTCATTTCTGCAACGAAAGCAGGTCGTGTATTCGTTACGAGAAAGAAAAAAATCATTGAGTAATCCGAGGTCAAGCTTCGCCTGCCGTCGATGGGCAACGAGCCTCTCGAATGCACTGGCCCCCGTGTGGGCCAATCTACCTAAACTCGCCGACCAGACTATGCCTTAATAACCTTGCACTCTGCGAGGCGTATTGGCCGGCTCATCGGATCGGCATTTAAATTGGTAGTTTGAAACGCCTAACTTTCCTCCTTCCACTTAAAAAAAAAACGCAAGAAACCGCTCGCGACAGATCAATGCGATCTGTCGATACGAAAATTTGTATTTAAAAAAATGGCAAAATAAAATCTCTCACGTATTGAAGATGTGTTAGCTTATATTCAACATACACGCAGATCAATAATTGACTGGAAGAAATAATCAGAGTAAGAGAGCAATCGCTATGAATAGGCTTCAAGTAATGAAATAATTAATTATTTATTATAATAATTATGTAATTATTTATAAAACAATAATACAAAAAGTTATTACGAAATAATAATATGAAAAAGATTTAAGTGATATTTTTTTCTCATGTAATTATTGTGATAGCATGAAGCATCTTCCGGACACGAGAGACCGAGGAATTATCGCAAATTTATTTAAGCAATATCTGACGAATATTACGACAAATATCGTAAAGTCGGCTTATCGCGATTATAAAATAAATTACTAATTTTAGAAATTACGAACTCTTAACTTTGAACGATAATTTCTTATCAATTCTTATACAGCATGCAATCACGTCAAATATAACTTCGGGTTTGCTCCAAAGCTCAGTGAGTCGCTACGCAATATGGTTGTGACGGCTTTAATAATCGGCGAGGAATCCGCTCGCAAAAGCGGTGTAGCCCCTTTGGCGCGAGCGAGCTTTCGCCCATTCGGAGGAGTGAAAAGCGGATATGTAGGCCGACGTTAAGGGCGCGTTTCTTACACACGGCCGTTAAACGAGAATCACCTCGGGGGTG